TCACGTGTCGTCTTCAAGAAAGCCTCAATCGGCAGCATCAGCGCAACACAGCATTTTCGCACCTGTCGCATTCGTTGCAAGTGGCTCCAACAATGATTGGACCCGCGAAAAAAGTACCAGTGCAACTTCTTTGTAACAAAGGCGGTCCTGGGTATCGGTTCATCTCTAACCCTCAAGCAAAAGTCCCTACCATACCTTGGAATGCTAAGACGACCGAACAACACAGCAACAACATTGAGGACCCAACTATTTAGTCCCAAAAAGGGACTTGCAACGTACATCAGAATGACTTCCACTGCGACGGCTGAGGCTGACATCTTCGGTTCTTCGCGCAATGTTCTGCGACTAGGCCTTGCGCTCATCAAATTGGTTCGGGAAGCTTCACCGCCACGGAAAGTCAGGTTCATACAGGTCGAACAAGTTTTCTCTTGTTTCAAAAAAAAATCCGGCAGCCCTACGGCCCGTGCCCACAGGAAGTATTGCGGCTGAACAAGACACCTTTGAACCCCAATGCCAGCAACTACAAGGTCCGGGCCACGGGTCTGGAGGGAGAAGGAGCTGCGAACAAGTCGGCTGGAATGAGGGGAAAACATGGAAACCTCACCGGTGCCGCACACCACGCAATTGCGGGACATGCAATGTAACCCGAGGCCATCTGATCTGCACTAAGCGAGACCATGTGCTGCCTCGTAACTTCTTCACTGCACAACTGTCCCGTGCATTAAGAAACATGAAAAGAAACTAAGCCCTCCTGCACTTCACTGCCTGCACTATCATCTGGAACCAGTGAACCCGCGACATAGTCCCGCCCTTGCTTATAAAATGGTCAAAACATGGGTAGTTCTCTAAGTCAGGGTTGCTTTGAGTGTCCTTTTAATAAGGGTGCCGTAATATTTGGGGACTAGAGAACTACCCACATCTGCATGGAAAACCCGGCCGTCGGCGAGCAAAGACTCGACATGGCCTCGAAGGTGATGCTCCAGGCGCACTGTTCACTGACGCTCCTTCAAGCCCCGTGGTGTCGACGCCTTGCAGCAGCCCGCCTTGCTGCCTTCATCTCCCCGGCGATGCGATTCCTCCTCCGGCGAATCTCATGCGGGCGGCAGACGTGGCAGTGCGTGCAATCGTCACCCTTCCTGCAGCCATTTCCTTTCAAGGAAAAGAAAATGCAAGGAAAGCATCGGCCGTTGTTGTGTTGCTCAACCATGTGCAATGGAAACGGACCCGGATATGTGTCGGCACGTTGCGGCACCGTAGCGCCCACGACGGGCTCTGCGAGGTTGGGGTGGAAGATGGGGGTGCTGCGAGGAATCGGCTCTGACGCCGCATGGCTCACAAATGCACCGAAGCTCTCCTCTTCCTCCGACTCCTCCTCGAACTCAAGCCCCAAGCTGGGGCAGAGCATCGGCTCTGACGCCGTGTGGCTCCCCAAGCTGGGGAGGATGGGCATCGGCTCTGACGCCGCGGGGCTCACAAATGCACCGAAGCTCTCCTCTTCCTCCGACTCCTCCTCGAACTCAAGCCCCAAGCTGGGGAGGATGGGCATCGGCTCTGACGCCGCGTGGCTCACAAATGCTCCGAAGCTCTCCTCTTCCTCCGACTCCTCCTCGAACTCAAACCCCAAGCTGGGGAGGATGGGCATCGGCTCTGACGCCGCGTGGCTCACAAATGCACCGAAGCTCTCCTCTTCCTCCGACTCCTCCTCGAACTCAAGCCCCAAGCTGGGGAGGATGGGCATGGTGCTGCTTCGCTGGTGGCTATCGTCGATCACATCTGGGATAACCTCCAAGAAGGTCCGTTTAACCTGCACGGCTATCTTCTGGTCCTGATCTGGCTCGAAGTGCTTCTCTTCGAAGCTCGGCTGTGCCACAGCACCTCCCGGTGCAGGCTCTTCCTCTTCCACGAGGTCAAACTCGGGGAGCGCCGGCATCGTGCAAACTCTTAGTTGCGGTGCTGGGTTGGGTGCCTCAACGATGTCCAGAAACGTCTTCGTGACCCGCAAGACAAACTCCATTACCCGATCTGGCTCGAAGTGCTTCTCTTCGAAGCTGGGCTCTGCCACAGCACCTCCTGGTGCAGGCTCTTCCTCTTCCTCGAGGTGAAACTCGGGTAGCTCCGGCATCGTTCGAATTCTTGGTTCCGGTGTTGTGCAAGCCGTCTCAACGACTTCCAGAAACGTCCGGGTAACACGCACCTGTGCGGTCTCGCAAGCCGTGCTGGCGAGCGACATGGCGAGCCCTGATAAAGCGAAGGGCAGGATTTTTCCACTTAGCGGAAAGGACGCCTGAGGCCTCAACAGCAGAGCTTCATGAACAACATGCGTCGAACTTGGCTCTGGAAAATCAAGTTGCCGAAGGCATGCATGGCTTCAAGCCACCTCCTTCCGAGAAATCTGTCACAGCCCCAATAAACAGATCTTGCCTGGGGCCTGGATGTTCATTCAGCTGTCACGCTCCGCGACGAAGAGATGCCCTGAATCCAAAACCTGAAGCCTCTTCCCACGCCCTGTGAGAGAAAAACAGCCGAGAGCCGCACTTAAGAGGGCCGTATTTGCGCTCCGGATTGGTGCTGTTGATGCTCACCTTATAAGGCCAGTTAGACTTATATGGCATGCCATGTGTCAGGGCTTCGGGGAAACGCGTCTGGAACCTTTTCTGCTTCTTTTGCTTCGCTGAGAGATTTTCCTTCGGGCTTCAAGGGCTCAGTGACTTTCTGAGCGTGTCTTGTACTCGAGATTCGGGTTTGTTTTCAGTCAGTGGTTCTCTAGAAACGACTGTCAGGGTTCGTTGCCACCTCTTCAGGAAGACAGGGCACACCAATCAGCCTTGAGAGTAATTAAAGCTTGGCCATTCATGTTGATGTCTTTGCACATCGAAAGCTGCTCTAAGGCAGGACGGCTGCCGAGTCGCACCAAACTCATCGTAGTCGACCTCGAGGAGCTGAATGCAAGCGGAAGCGAGAGGGGAAGAGCAGTGTCAGGGGCCGGAAAAGCAAATGGCAGAGCACCACTCAGCTCTAGGGCTCCATGATGCAAGAACGAACAACAAGGGTTGAAGCCCAAAAGAGAATTGCAACCGGCGAGTCCTTGTTTACAGTTTAAAGTCTGCAAGCGTATGTATCCTCGCAGCCCCGTCGCGGCACCCTTCCTGGAAGCGCTACACCCTGGCCCTACACCCTGAACCCTTCCGCTCTTCCCAAAGTTCCTGGAAGCCCACTATATTATATTATCTTAAACTATATAGTATTATATTATATTATATTACAATATATTCTAATATAATATAAAATATTCTACCCCAACATGCACAGAACTCCGAGAAACGGGCCGCCCATTCCAGGCCCTCGGGCATGCAGGGATGGCGAACCTCCTGAACCAGAAAAACCAACATACCTAGACCCTCCATCTACCCTCTATTAGACCCTAAGTACCCCTTATTTGGGACCATAATACCCCTATTTGAGGGTACAAGGAGGGTCCTGGTATTCTTGGATTCTTTGTTGGGCCTTCAGTTGCTTGTATTCTGGCCCCCCGGCCTCCAGGCTCCAGGGCTTGGGGGTTGAGCCTTTGGAGTCGAGGGTTTTGGGGTTTAGTCTTTCGGGCTTTTAGGGCTAGGCTCTTGGACGTTAGTGGCTTAAAGCTGTTGGTTGTAGGAAAGCTGGCCCCTGAGCCTGAAACCGACAGGCACGAGGAGCAACGCAGCAACCCCCTACACCCGAAACTCGCTAAACACTAAACCCTAAACCCTCAACACCCTAAGCCCTATAAACCCTAAACCCTTCCTGCGAATCATGAGTCGATGCCAACAGATTGTGCATGATAATGCCCCGAATCGCTTAGAGTTCATAGGCGTCTAACACTGGGGCTTTAGTGGTGAGAAAAGAGTTTTGGGGTGTGTATATATATATATGATGCTTTTCTATTGCTTCTGATACGGAACACTAAAAGCAAGTCTTGTCAACTATTGAGGCTTTCAAATTGAGGTTGAAGGACTTCATGGCGGAAAACCCTCAAAACCCCTAAACCCTAAACCCCGAAACCCCTAAACCCCGAAACCCCTAGACCCTTAACCCTGAAACCCCTAAACCCTAATCGCCACAGGCCGTGCTCTCCGAAATCCGAGTCGTCCTGCTCCGCCCCGGGCCGCAGCTTCTTTTGCAGGGACCTGGTTGTAAAGCTCTTGAATGACAACCATAGTACTAATAGCATAACCAATGTTGATAATCATGCATTAAAGCTCTTAATTGTATTAATTACTAGTATAAAAATAACAAAAATTGTAATAACAATATAATAACAGAATTATACTAATCATCATCATAATAATATTGTAAAGTGAGGGCGTCAAGGTTTGGCAGTTTCATGGGTTTCAGGGTAGTCTTGGGTTCCGCGTGGGGTTGGCAGGTTTTGGGCTTCAGAAACACCAGACATGAGCCCAGCCAAGCCAGCCTGAATGCTGCCTTAACTGCTCTAAAAAAGGGGGTTTCTGAAAAAATCTGACTACTTGGTAAGGATCCCACTATGTTTAGGAGTTAGGGCCTGTCGCAAGCCGCTTCTTCTCCGAGAGTTCTCTGTCATAGGCGCCTGGGAGCCTGGAACCCCCAACGAGATCGACTGATGACACCCCCCCCGGTGCTGAGCACGCAGCAAGAGGACCGTGGTGGCGCGCTGGAACGCGATGACGTTGCCAAAGCCATTGAAGCTGAATCAGACAGATTCAATTGATTCAATCAATCGGCTGCACAATTTAAGATAGCCCGGGCCTGTGCAAGATTTACGTCTAAGCTAGCAAGGCAGGTACATTGGTGCTGAGTTCCGCATTCTGCGTTGTTGATGCGTTGGAAGACCTTGCCCGACTAATTAAACCCTCTGTGCCCAAGTGCATCTCGACACCGGCCGGCAAGCGGTGTTGCGGGTTGGACCGACCCTTTTCCGAAGCAAAGGCAGTTGATTCCTGTAGTGGAGAACGTCGGGCCGCATAACACATGAACATGTTCGTAACTCAGGTTGTGCTGCTAGCAGATCGAAAGACAGTCGCGGCTTGCCTGTGGGAGTAAAGGTGGATCGGCCCTCGCACGCTTCCGCCAAAGTGCATGGGGAAGAGGTTGGCGAGGATCGAAGTCTCCTGAGGGACCTCACTGCAGCTCTTGGCAGAGCTAAACGTATCGCAAGGGTGTGATGGTATGGCCAAGAACAAGTACAGCTGTATATCAAACAAAACTGTGCAGGAAGACAGATGGAAAAAACAATGACATACAGGAAATGATAAGCAGAACCAGGAAAGATTTTATATAGATACGATGTTATATACATACATACATGCATGCATACACACATACATATCTATATCTCTCTATATCTATCAATCAATCAATATATCTATCTATATGTATACGGATGATGTAGTGGGACATGTCACAGACGGAACTCTCAACAACATTGGCGCAGAGGTTCGCCAGACCTCACCCGTCCAACCGGCTTCGCCTTTTTCGAAGGCTCTCGTGGCCTCATCCTTGCCCGAACGTTCTTGCCAATGGTGGCACCATGTGACACCGCTCATGACAACAAGAACCACAAGGACGGCAGAAATTACAAATGTCACCGCAGTCATCACAATCGTCACCTTCTTCGTTTGTCACCAGGTTCATCATGATAAAGCCATAGTCACAGTCATCTAACGCATCACCACCATGATCACCATCACCATCGTCAACATCGTCACCATCTGATTCCTCACCTTCTACCTTACGACATTCATCATCCTCGTCTGTATCACCGCCATCATCATAAGCAGGGGCCTGATATTACCTGGAACTTGGGAACACACACACACATATATATATATATATATATTGCATACATACATGTATGTCTATATCTATATATATATACAAGAATAGAAAGATACGGACTATAAAGGACATCAGTCCCCAGTCTTCAGACCCCTAAAGCCTGGGGGCATGCCTTCTTTAAGGAAGCTCCACGTGATAGGAACCCCACTCGTGCAATCTATGTACAATCGGGTCCCATATAGGCCCTAAGCCGTATAAACCCCCTTTGCTGTAACGAATGACCGCACAAGAACCCTTACAGTACTACTGAGCGTCCGAGAACAAAATCCTGAGCCCTGTAACCACCTTACGAGTACGGACAAACGCAGTAAACCCTAACCCCAACCCTAAACCGTAAACCCTACGTAGAACCTAAACCCCAAACCCTACAACCTAAACTACCTAAACCCTAAACGCACAGGTCCCGGGCGAAGGAAATCTGCACCGATGCACCGCCGAAGTCGAGAGCTCCCAGTGTCGTCGCCGGGTCGGGGCTGATCTCTGCCTGGCTTGAGAGGTTACGGCTCCTTCTCTTTATATAATATGTCATATAATATAGTATAATATCATATCATATAATATCATAT